GAAGGTGGGTACGGAACTCTATCAGCACTGTTGACTCGATAGCATCGAGTAAAGCTTTGCTTTGCGGCGTGGGATATCTAATCGGGGATTACTTTCTTTCAGAGGGTAGGTAGTAAAAGGGGCATCACACTAAGTAGTCGGTAAAATTGATCAACGAAGGGCTGAATTACATATTTCATTTCAGATATTCATTCAATGTTTGTTCAAATCAAATTATTTGAGGGATTGATATATAAACAAGTAGCCCCCCATGTCGTCGACAGGAATCATGAAACTACCTAAACGCCAGATAATATGCAAGCCAAGCCAAGCCAACCGTTGATTCTTCCAAGTCAGCCGAAAAAATAATCTGCAATTGGAACCGCAGTCCGGCGGTCCATCCCTAGTAGGTAGTGCGATAATGATATCTCCCTTTTGTCGAAACTCCTACCGTCCTTGTAGTGCAAAGAACTAAATACCGTTTTCGCAAACGACCCAATTCTGTGTAGCACCGTAACCCCAATTACGCCCAAAATAAAACCTAATATAAAATGCCATCACCGTGATGTATAACGCTCAAAGGCATGAAGGGATATCTAACGTCGAAATAAGAACCCCACGGAAATTGCCCAAAATGGCCCAAAATGATTTTTATACAGATGCCCTCCCGAAAGCAGTCTTCAAGAATTGAATTGTTCGAAAAGAAATCTCATAAGTCGTGAATGTATAAGAAAGATGACCGAAATGTCGTCTAATGTTCGACAATGATGTGTCTTGGCTCGGCGCCAGCGGCGATGCCAGTATCAGGAGCACAGTGATCAAGCATTTCATCATCGAATGCTTGCTCATGGTCCTCTTCACTCTTCTCGTCAACATCCATTCTTCCTCCCTTGTCAGTCATGTAGAGACTGATAACAGCACCAATCATAGCAATGATAGCACTGCACCACCACGCAAGACCAGAGTAACCTAAGCTAGCACCAGCCGACAAGAGGAAACCTGAGATCGTCGGACCAAAGGCTCTGGAAATACTGGCGGTTGATGCTGCAACACCGTTGATAGTTCCCAACATCAAAAGCGATGGTGCCGAATTAGTCAACAGAATAGCATTGCTTGGATACGTCATTGTCGAGAAAGTGCATTTCCAAATGACAACCGCATATAAACCAATCATTTTAAGATTCTCCGGAAGCAAGACCAAGTAAGGTGTTACAATATAGAGGATTGGATAGGAAATTGCCATGGTTCTGAACAAGTTCAAAGCTCCCAGTCGTCGAACAACAATTGGGAATAAGAAAATTGTAGCAATCATCGAATATAATCCTTGAACCGAAAGAACCACGCCGACATCTGAAGAGCTCATTCCATATGTACCGACGAATTTAAAGGGCAATTGAGGTTCTGGGAATGGTGGAGCATCATCCTCTTTTTTGTAGGAAAGCATTGTTGGGAGCATGGAATCGAAAGTCATTGTGTGGCTGGAAATCTCGGGTCAGTTACTCAATTCGTATGGTCGTGCAGGTGCAAAAACATGAAACAGGTGAACTTACTAAGCCAAGATACCATAACCGATAATATTGATGACGACCTGTCTCGTAAAAGCCTTCGTTGCTGCAGGTTTAGTTCTTGCAGGAACAACAAATTGATCATGTGCATTCAAATCCAGGGTTTCTTGCGGGTCCTTCGAAGTCACAGTCGATGTAAGAGTAGGTGACCCTTGGGTTGTTCGATATCCTGGCGGCTGATCCTCTGAATCACCATTCAACAACGAAAGTATCTCGTCAGACTCTGCCACCTTCTCGCATCGACTATTCTTTAATTCGGCGCATCGTGTGAATTTACTGAGAATCCATTTTCCCGCTTCTAATCCGGGATCTCGACGGTATTTCTTCTCCGAGTGCGTTTCTTCCAAAAATAAGATTCCGACAATTACTCCGCAAGTTACCACGACTGTACAAACGAGATTGGGAAGTAAGTAAGGGAACTTTTCCCAAATCGATCCTTGCTGAAATGTTCCTGGCCAATTGACTACGGGTCTCGCCAGTGCGCCTCCAAGGGACGGGCCTAATATGGATCTGCAAATTGCAACATTAGTATCAAAATTGTTGAGAGCTGACAAGAGCTGACAGTTAGTTCGAACTCACCCGAGACACCAAACGAATGGCATGATTGTATATGCGCGAGCTATGACTTGTCAGAACGAGGCTCCGAAACCCAAAGTGATAGATCACTTACGCTGATGTTCTTTCACCGTCACCATCTCGGCCACAGTAGTCTGCAAAACGCCAATATTTCTAGAAAAAGCAATTCGTCAGAATTTATTGCCTCAAACAGTAAAAAGGGGGGCGGAGGCATGGATTCATACCCGTTCAATAAACCACCCAGCGCGCGTGCCAATAATGCTGTTGGCAGATTGGGCGAGAATCCAAAGATGAGCATACTCAAAGCGGTACCCGCAAGCCCGGTAAGCAGAACTGGTTTTCGTCCGATTTTATCACTCAGTCGACCCCAAGCCACTCCAGACGAGAATTCTGCGAAGGCGAAAGCCGATGTGACCATGCCACAGTACATGAAGATTTGAGCATCGTTATCGGTAATGTGGAAATCTTTGACCATGAAATAGATATAGGGGAAAATGCTCATGAAAGCAATGGGTTCGCAAATCCGACATAGTGCTAGAGGATGGATATCAGTGACTGTACAGTTGGAATCGTTACTGCAATGCTGCTGTATAAGTCACAATGATAGTTACACAAACGTACCCAGGATTGTCATTTGCTTCGTGGGGAATGGAGGGATCCGCCTCCGCGCTCCCGTCTGTCCTGCCGCGGATTGCATGTCCGCTACCTCTTCTGTAAAGCTTCGATAGGGAGTTGTAAGCTGAATTGGTTACTTGGACAAGTATCGTGGTAAATATGATCGTTCGAAAGACCTTGACAAGAATGGAAAATTTGTGAAAAAGTCGACGTTTCAAAAGGTGGAAGTATGTTTATATATTGATCGATCCTTCCAAATATAATTTCTAGTTTTGCTTTATGTTGTGCAATCAAACTTTATATGAATGATTTGAGTAGATGCATGAGCAATATGTAGTTAGAGAAAAGCAAATACGTGCAGCAGGTCTTTGCTTTATTATGAAAGAAGAAAATAAAAGTGTTGTTGTAAGATCGAAAAGTTTGAAAAATCGATGAGTAGCAGGGCAAGAAATATGTAGCTGACCGCTGGATGGAGACCTTTAGAAGCACAATCAGACGTAGTGGGTAGTAGCGGCGCCGACTTTAATACAAATATGATTATGGTATTGTCATCAGGCGGTGACGAGGGTGAAGACTTGCTATTATTACTGTCGTGGCTCATCCCTCCCTTGCTAAAGCCTGTTGAGCGAGCGAGCGTTGTCTCTATGGGGCGGCGCACATAGGTTTGGGCCTTCGAGCTAGAAGCCGTGTATGATTCTGAATGAAAAGGACGGTACTACCGTACCCACACGCCCCGGCATTTGGCTCCGTGACCCGTTGGGCTAAAGATGAGGGAGAATTGAAAGAGGGAAGATTATTTAGAAATTATTGTTTGCAGGCTACTCACATGGAGGAAACCCTGCCCTGTCACTACTTGGGTGGATTAGGTCTTGGGTTCAGTAGCGTCGTGGATCAGGGAAAAAAGGATGGTGACCATGGCTCGCAGGGGCCATTTTTTGCTTGCGGCGGCGGTGTGAATGGTGGAGGACAATGTGAAAGTTTGAAAATGCTTGGGCTTTGATGACACTACCATCATCATACCATGTTTTGTTTTGCTTCTGCTGGTGGAGCGTGGGTGTTGTGGTTATGCCAAAACCGGTATTAGATGCCCTTTTTCTTCACACACACTAGGGCTCATTCTCTATCGACGGATGCTTAGAGCTTCTCAACTCCAGTTACATGGAGAGAATGGCATGATGTTATCATTGCATCCATCTATCCATTTGTTACATGCATGAATATTTATTGGGTGTGAAGATCACCCCGGAAAATACTTGGACAAGGCAGGGAATGCAACCTGGGTCGACATCATCAAGTGTATTCACGAACGGAAAGGTGTCAGCAATATTGTCTTGTTTTATTCCAACTGTAGTCGATGTGCAAAAAGTAATGATACTCTAACCTTCAGCTTTTCCCTCGTGTTCGCTTTGGGCATTCCGACTACTGCCAGGCCTTTTCCAAAAGGAGTGCTAGATGCGATGATGAAGCCCAGAAGAGCTTCATTTGGCTCAGACGTCGGTAATCCATTTGCTGTAGAAGGCCAAACTTGGAATATACTTTATCATGGCCTTTCGAAAGCCAGAGGTCTGAGTGGTTAGTGCGTGTAATCACCGGTGCGGGGGTTGATTTCCAGGTTGATTTACTTCCTCATCCAATTCTTGCGTCGCAACAGAAGGCGCTGAACGGAAGCAACAGCCTTAACGTTCAACCCCACGACAGCTGATACCAAATGACATTCCAATGAGTCCAGGTGCTTCTTCACTCAAGGTTTCTTTCAGGGCTCAAGCTTTCCCTGCATGGCCTCCGTGTCATGTAAAGCAATATTAAAAGTTGGCTTACACTGCGTGTTGCGGGCAGCTACATCATTCGCCGGCTTTCCACAGTCTTGTTGCATGTTCAAATTTCGACATCCTGAAGATTACAATTGTTTATCGTTCAGTTGCATTGCCGCTAGATACCACCCTACATCTCACCTAGAAGTTCCAAGGGCCTAAAAGTCAGCAATTGTAGTCAAGGCGCAACGAAATGACTATTTCCGAAGATCACATAAAAGCCAATGGTAGGATTACTATCGGTACATACACCCATCGGTCACTATACCATGACTTGGAGCCTCTGATTCTGTAACTCTTTCCATTGCGATTGCCCGCGAACAAGACGTATATCCACTACAGCTCCATTACGAAAGTGGTCATGTTACATACAGAATAGCAAAACTAGGATAAGGCATGGCCACCCTGCCTGCTGAAAAGATAGAGACTTGGTTTTGTCGTATCTTATTGGGATTTACTGGGGATCTTGTCCCGAGACCCAGAGCAGTGGAATATGCCCTGTATTAGCCCTGTACTCGACTCGACCCTGTCGATTTCTAATCTTTTGTGCCTCGCTAACTGAACTTCCTCGGATAAGATCTATTGATAGATTAGCAATCCGGCCAGGCGGCCTTGCAAATCAAATGACTTACCTATGGTGTTTTCGATTCGAGATTTGATCATTACTAGTCAGGGGTATTTGACCCAAAGGAAATGGAAAAGACACAACAGAAAGATGATGGGATCCCCATGGATGAGAATAGACGAAAAGAACAGGGTAAAAAAAGTATGGTAACACAAAAACATACCCGGTGGCTATTCCTTGTAGTGCAGCTTGCCCGCTTTACTTGATCGGAGGGGTTTTTTCGTATTTGCACTGTCAAAATGTAGCTTGTACAGATACATATCTTCACAAAGGGTACAGATGATCTGGTTTTGATCTCTAAGCAAATGTGGCAGGACCGGATAGGTTGAAGATAATTGTAGCAGCAGTAACGTAATGCTTAATATATTTAAGGTAACGATGATCTATCACCGAGTGCTATATGTATGTTTATATGCTACATATATGTATGTAGGTGTCCTCAAGCCTCTGTTGGTTCTTCGTTGGCTATAGTAAGCGTAAGCTGCGTTTAACAACTACGAGAGAAGTTGCTGCTTAAAAATTGCAGGGACCCAGTGAGAAATTGGATTCCGAGTCACAAAGTTACTTTTCTTAGCTCATTTTATGTTGCCCTATCCAGCAAGTGGCAGAATTCTCAAAGTCTATTCGTGTAGATCGAACAAGCTGCGAGATGCAAGTAGCACGAAAGTAAACTCGGATTTATTTTCCGTCTTGCACTAAATACGTCAATTGTCGAAGCAACATCCATACAAGAATCTCTGTCAATAGGTCAAGGATCGGGTCTCTCTAGGCAGACCGTTGGTGCCGCGGAATCGGGACACAGGAACATGGATTAGAGAAGAAATGAAAGCTTCCAAAGTTCCATTCAAGATCCGTTCGAAAGGAAATGAACCTTAGCGCCTTCGCGTCCTTGGAAGTTTGTTTCGCATACGAAGATGGAGCCAAATGACAAGGTTATTCAACTTAATTTTCAATGGGTCAAACAACTAGGGGAAATGAAAAATTGGATCAATTGGATTGGATCGAAGCCAACTCGCAGTAAGCCGAGAAAGCCATATGAAAGAAAACCGGTCCTTGCCACGTTTTGTTGTGGCACCCCATCTTCGATAATGACGATCATTATAAGGGGGTGCCGTAGCTGGAAGGCTAGATAGAAGGGTTCGAAATTCCAAGGTCCAGGGATTCTTTCCTTAGTGGAGCACCCTCAGCTACATTTTAAGATAAAAGGGGCTCAAGCAGAAGCAGTTTGTAACTACTAACTCTAGTAGCAAAGGCTAAAAGATGGTGTGCTTGTTCCAAGATCAGAAAGCAGACCAAGGCTGGCTGATTGGTATCAGAGAGCTTCGCGGAAGTTGTTCCTAGACCCGTAGCGAGTAAATCCGAACGAATGATGTTATGAATTCGATGGTTTGCCATCTAAAAAAACTTTCGAGTGGTGTGGTTTAATATTTGGCCTGGTCGTGCAAAAGTTTGAACTGTACCTATCTCGGACCTTTCCTTGACGCTTACCGGCGCAGGATAAGTGTTCCGAACTTCCCATTCGGCTTTTTTTCTTTGGGTATGTGTTACACAAAATCAAGTTGGCAAAAGATTTCTTACAGTATTCGCAATTTTGACGCCGAGGGGTTTAACGAGGCGATGAAGGGGTACAAAAGCCTCAGTAGACGCGTTGTATTCTAGAAGGAAAAAAAGGATCCGGTACTGATTCTATGGATCTAATTATCGATCCATTCATACACATCATACACATCGCACTTTCGATTTTTTCCTAACCCCATTGTCTCACTCCCATCCATTTTTTTCTTTTCACCTTCTTATATTCGTAAAGTATCGCCCAAGTTCCCAACAAACAACAACGCTGTTCCCTGGACATACAGAATGATTCTCAGTTCCCACCCACATTCAATTCCCGAGAACAATATCTGTGTAACTAACTTTCTATTTATTTGAAAAGACCAATGAAATTATTAATCTCGAATTGATACACCGCCAGTTGTAAGTTCTCGTTCCTGCGATAGTTTTCCTTTTTCCTCAAATCTCGATGTTGTTCAATAGATTCACGCCACAATCCAAGGGGTTGTTTGATTTGATGATTGTATTGCTTCGCGGAATTTCGGATGTCGAATTCTGAGTGGTATTGTTGGTATATGCACTTGTATTTTTCAAGTACTCTATTTGCTCATGTTACGATTTGGAGGGGTCACAGGATTTTCGGAAATATCTATCCTGCATCGTTTGCTAAGTAATAATTCTGTGATTTTTCTTTTTTCGGGTGCAAATTGAAGATCCCGGAGATCCGCGGACACCACTTTTGGGAGACATTTTGGGAATGCGACCTTCTACAGACCTATATGACTGCTGCAATGTCGCGCACTACATGAGATGCATCTGAGATTTGTGGCGTGGTACTTAGGCTTTGAAGTCAAAATCTTACTATCCACCCAAAGATCTTCATGTGTCCTTATTTCTTGCCCATTGAAGAAAGTATTCCGATGGTTGAGACTCCGGACAGAGTTGAAAAAAAAATCATTCCATGGGTTTGGGAAGTCATCCGGCGCATCGAACATGCATTGCAGCGGCTACGCACATTGCAGCCCATTCACATGTCAGCAATACCGAAAAATTCTATCAGTGGATCATGATACGTCAAAGTACCATTGACCGTCCTCGATCTTGAGTGAATCGATTTGCGGCACTGCGTCGAGATGCGGCATCAAGAGACATTTCTCCGGCCAATTAGACCTCTCAAGTATCTGACGACATGGGTTGGTTAATGTGCTTGTTTGGGCACTCGCTATAGCGTGTAGCGATGCTGTACCCAAAACGCATCCTTTGTACGTATACGTTGGAAAGTACACACATTCCAATCTCTACATCTCTACGAAGTTGATGGCTTGCAGATGCAAGATGCACCGTTACCAACTTCAAAATTACACTGCATCTACCCATGTAGCCCTGCATATGCATCGAAGGTTACTCCTTCACCATTCTCTTTTTTCAATCCCGTATCGTAACCACGCATTTGGACTATATTGGCCAGAATTAGAACCAAAAACGGGGATTCGGACCACGAGGTGTACAACGTTGGGCGCCATTTTTTATAACACTATAAGCAGTAAGGCTTTTACAGGCCACTTGAAGCTATGTGTCGGCTTAGAGCGGATTTCAACTCCACTCACATGGAACGATTCCTTCGTACAGGGTGTCGTTCTCATCGTACTTCTTTTGATGCATTCTTGGTCAGACGGGTCGCTTGCTGGGTGCATCATAGCAGATACCTTGAAGTGGAAGTCTCCTCGCTTCGCCAGGTCTATATCCGGAGTCCTGGCATGAGGATATCCCAAACGCAAGTTAATGTTACAGCGGAAAGGCACAGCCTTACAGAAAATCCCTGAACGGACCGCACGTCATGCATAGGTTACTTACTGATACCGAGTTTTATCCAAGAACTTGAACCAATCATAACTTGACCGCAGGGACTGCGCCCTTCTCACCGAGTTCTTGACCGCACTCACGTCTCAGTACTTTACTCAAACTTTAATATCGCCCCCTACCAAGTGAGTGGGGGTATGATATGTTGTGTTTCATGGGCAGATTTCAGTCTCCATGATGGCTCGGAAGATAATCCCATCTTCCCCATCGAAAGATAAATTTCTATGACCGCCCAAGACAAAATGTATGTACCCAATCTGACTGATGCAACTATTGACTGGTAACGGGTTCCCTTGGAGATTTTTAATCTGGTATCACACGATAAATCATACGTGGAAGATTTCTCCCGCGCCCAAGCATCTTACAACACTTCTCGATGAATGAGAATCGAATCCATCGGGAGAACGGACGAGAATGGATGCAAATTGAGGATCATATGATTTTCACCCATAATCTGCAAGGCTGAGCACATCAGCATAACAGCGATTTCAGGCTTTCGCTCTGCATGAAGGATGCCCATCATATCAAATTTGAACTCTCAGATCCCTTGTATATAACGTTGAAGTCCATGCAATAATGATAGAATTGGGCAATATCGGAATTGCTGCGGTACGCCGGCTATGTATGAAAATCCACAACCAACGGAATAATAAAATGGCTTCATTGGGGTAAATTTCCGACGGCTCCATCCCTTCCACTTTTCCCGACTTCACAATGGATGGTTGACGTAGTATTGGATTGTAATCTTTCCGAAGCATTGTAAGCAAGATTCGATTAAACACAGTAGGAGCCCCTGAACCTCTGGATATATCACGTGATTTGACATCGAGCTACCTTGAAGTCGGTAATTCGGCAGGTATGAATAAGCAAAGTCTATTGCAGCCTGAGGCAAAAGTCCGAATCTCGGATTCACATCGGATCGCTTTACCCTTGAAGGGGCTGCATCATCCAGCATCTGGCGGGGCAATCATAAGCCTGGAACCACCAAAAGAGTCATAGAAATCACAACAAGACACAGGATTGATCAATATTTCTTCATATTACCCTACAAGAAAATCTTTTCCATAATCAATCACACCATCCAATATTGATAAATACCCGATCCCTTCATCGGCTCGTTCCTTTCAATAGTTGAGGGTCGGTCCATCACAACGGTAACTAAATCAGTAAGCCGAATAACTAGCACACACCAGCCAATATGGGTAAAAAGCAAGCTGCTGGAGAGAATAGCAGAAAGGCGGCAGGAAACGCCAAGAAAGCTGATGTTGCTGCGTCAAAAGCGGCAGTTGAGAAAAATAAAAAGGATCAAGCAGAGTCAGAAGAATGGTCCAAGGGAGCAAAGAGCAATGCAAAGGCGTGAGTCCGAATGGTTGATTTCAGCCTTTGCTACCCCGCATATCACCCGACCAATTTGCTAACGTAGTATTGAACAACAGTGAAGCTGCAGCACTCAAACAAGCCGAGTTGAATCGGAAGAAAGCAGAAAAGGAAGCATTGTTGAAGGCTGAGGAAGCTGCTGCTCCCTCTGGTCCGAAGAACTCGAAGAAAGCCGAAAAGAAGCCCGCCGTTAAAAGAGGTCTCGACCTATCACAACTGGACGACTCCCCTACTAGTGCTAGTCCATCATCAGCTCTCAATGCTTCCAACATTGATGATGCGTTGGATGCGCTGGCTTTGACATCAAATACGAAGGAAAAGGTCGATAGGCATCCAGAAAGGAGATTCAAGGCTGCTTATGCCGAATTCGAAGAGAGGAGGTTGCAAGAAATGGATAATGACGGTAGTGGAAACGGGCTGAGAAAGAACCAAAAACAGGAGAGAATCAGGAAAGAGTTCGAAAAGAGTCCTTTGAATCCTTATAACCAGATCACTGGCAGATACGATTCAACCAAGGGTGAGTTAGCAGAGATTTTGCAAAATGTACAAGCTGGTGTAGAGTCAAGGTTGGCAAGCAACTAGATCACTCTGAGCTGTGTGCTTGCTAGTGTGCGCGGCGATTTGTCACATCTTGTTGGCATACATAACTGGTTGCGAGTCCGGGGAGGGGGGGTTGACGATTGAAACGATACCATTATTGCAAGAAAGCACTCAGTAACGATAGAGAAAGAATGAATGACATCCATGATTAAAGGCAAAGTTCAACTCGTGCGAATAATCTACCCGAACCAAAATTTGGTACAACAATCATGTATAAACGGCATTGATGATTTTTCATGAGCCTACCTATGATTCATGAATAGTTTCCTGGACCTTCGGGATACCTACTGCGTACATAGGTAAGGCAATAACTTCACCGCTTTTACATCATCCCCAAGCTCTGGTTCACAATCACAAGCCAAAACATAAACATAGACATCGTCAAAGTCAAGTATAACAACAATAACAATGGCGCCACAACGATTATCAACCTTATCTACTGTTCGAAAGCAGCATTTACTCGTAGAATTGTGCGTTGCAATCCAATCTTCCCATCAACAACCAAGTACATTGCCATGCTGATGAGAGATCCACCAATATGCAGTTCAAGTCTAAAATACGCATGTCCACATGGCGTGTTCATGAGCCTCACACCTGGCGACCCCACCCTCTGGTCTGGCGTCCTATTCGTGCGGAAAGGTACGTTTGGATCTCATTGAATACTATCTGTCATCCTATGCATCTTCCGTCCGCGAACGCGGGTTCCACATAGCCAAACTATCACGTCTCGACATCTATGACTTCAACTAATTTGTCTTGATCTGTCTTATTTCAGGTCCCTATGCGCCTTCAATCCTGCGCTTTCAGATTTCGTTTCCACCTCAATATCCTGCTCTGCCGCCTCTAGTAACTTTCTCGACGGATATTTTTCACCCGCTGATTACGCCGCTTACAACTTACATGTACAGTACGGATACACAGTCTGACGGGACAGTGAGCGCGACAGATGAGGAGAGATTACCTCCTGGAGGGTTCTCACTGAGAGAAGGGTTCCCGGCGTGGTTTGGAAGAACAAGTAGAAGAGGCGCAGAACAAGGAACTCCCACGAAGGCCGGTGGAAGTTCAGCTGAGAGTGAAGCTATGAGTAGCCCAGGAAGTGGTATTTATTCACTGGGAAAAACTGCAGATGGTGTCAGAGTTGGGGTTTATGAAGTATTGAGATATATCCGGAGGACGTTTGACGATGAACTCGTGCTAGACAAGGTACCTTTGGAAGCAGCTGGTAACCCCGGCGCATGGCACGCGTGGAAATCGTATCGCATAAGGATAGGCAAGATGACTGCAGAGAAGAAAGACTCCGATTTCAAAGATCCGGCATCACCAGTAGTAGCGCGCGCACCAGGAGAATGGAACTGGGATGGCGTGTGGGAAACGAGAGTCAAGAAGGGTATCGAGGCCAGTACCGCCGAGACAGTCTTATATGGTTTAGGAGCAGATGATTTGATACAATTTCTCAATTTTGACAAGGAGAAAGTTGAGCAAATCAGAGAGCAGATTAAAGGGAGTGCGGATACTATGGAACCACAACGGAGAAGCGTGGTATGATACCTGAGGAAATCCTGGACATTTCGGCATTTTTTACAGTTCAGCATATCCTACGGACTATTCTTTCTAGCATTGATACCCCCGTTCACATAATATAAGCTTTAATTCTCCTTCCGATCTTCACATGCATTGGCACTTGTGTTGCGCAAGAAAAATGTCCGATGTCTTCAATATTGTGCATTTTCATGATCATTGAATGATCGCCTTCACGTAACGTAGTAGTAGCGATGCTCGTCATTAGGGGCACATTAACACCAAGGATTCAGATCCTTCGGGAGGAATGATCGACGTCGCATACGAAGTGGTCAGACTTCTACATCTTTATCTTCTATCCTGGAAGGATCGTAGGCGGTCTGGATTTAGTCAGGGGTTATCAGTTCGATGGAGAGCGTTGTTTTATGTTCTTGTTTGATTGGATTGTATCATTCCTTTTAAGTGTGTGCTTTGAGTGTTGTGAGCTGGTCTTGGGGAGAGAGTAAAAGTATGGATTTCAGTGGACCATCAAGTCGGTTCTTTGCGAGTCGTCTAGATGGACTTTCCATAGCTTGTCCACTGAATTATACATTGTGAATAATGGAGAGTTGCCTGTTGGTAAAGCGTCATCATTCAGTTTTCATTCCATTCAAACATTGTCTATTGGAAGGTCATTGATTTTTCAGTCTCTACCAAAAGACTCGATATATCAATATTCGAATACTGATCTGGTCTTCTTCAATTTTATTTCTGAAAGTTCCTGAAATATGCAGGCTGTTTTCACGCATGATTCCCTACAATTTTACCTTCGAATGTCCCATAGTGTTGATATAATTCTCGCGACTTTTTTGTGTGTGTTCTTGGACAGGACTCTTTCTCTTGAAAAAGGGTGTATGCTCAAGCTTGTTGAACTCTAGAATATTAGAGATCTTCGTCTACTGAGATTTGACATATAGGTCTATCACAGTCTCGCCTACATCTTGAGACGAACCTGCTTTTACACTGCATAGAAATAAAGGTTTATAAGTTTCGTCCTGTTATAGAAATCATTGCCTTTTAGTTCCACGGGATGAACAATTAGTCACTGTACACTTCTTCTGGCGATCCTTCAATTTTCGATCTCATGTCAACCCTTTTGGCACATCTCTGGTGCTTTTGGATTCCAGAAAATCTAGCAATTGAATGTCCTATACATCTTCGTTCACTTGAACATTGAAATTCTTGAGGTGTCCGAGAACTTTGATTTAGTGTCGTTCTATATCCCACATGATCTTTCTCAAAAGATCAAAATATCGTTTTTACCCAGAATTTCTGTAAGACAGACGTACCTTCCCTTTCAATGTTGTGTAATATTGTCGTAGGTAATCTTCTCAGTCTTAAAAGATAGATGGTATCTTCAACAACGTTATTGCTTCGATCTTTTTTTGGCTATGATTACAGAATCTTATTCTCCTGTTGGCGCACTTATAATAGTACCAATTATTATCCTATTGTTCGTTGTATCCATTGCATTGAAAGCAAGTAGTATTTGGAGGTGGATCGTTAACTGTTGCCACCGGCCTGGGAACACTTTTCATCGTTCCAGATTATACCGAAAATTCAAAACTCGACACTCGAGCCTCGAAGATACCTGGAGCGATTTAGAGACTACACGGTCGGGTGGTTCTAGTTTCGTCAGTAGAACATCCAGATTTGGCACTCTCATTAGTCCATCTTCGGAGACACATTCAACAACCTCAATATGGCACACTCCATCTCAACAGATCAGAAGCTTTATGAACCCGAGGTCGAGCCGCTACGAATTATCAAACGTAGCCAAACCGTTACCAGTCGCATTTCGAGCTCAAGATTTGGAGGCGCAGATGAATGGGGAATGGCTGGATCCCCGTTCGATGATGAGGGTAAGGGAAGCCCGCCGGTGGCAGCGGACAGACCTTTAGTCCCTTTGACTATACACAAAATAAGAAGGGGTAAGGGTAGAGGCAGTATTCTGGATGATGGTGATTTGTCTATCAATATTGTGGACATTGCGAAGCAAGGTATTGATTGTCTAGGTATTAGTCATACTACAACAGCAGCTAACTGTTTCAGATCATCCTGACCATTCGAATGACGATTTTGAACTTACACCAAAAGCATCTGAACAGCAGAGGAACATAAGCACAGGAAACTTCTTGAGGACAGAATTACATTTTCTGAGTTCAGAAAGCGATATCGAATCTCCAGATATTCAAAAATTAGCTGGCTCTCCTGTAGTACCTCAGAGAAAGAAATCTAAATCCAAGTATTCTCTGTTGAGGGCATTTGGTGGTCGACGGAGTGAGGATGTGGATTCGAATCCTGCTCTTGGTCGGAATAATTCTTCGACTTCGACGAAATCACATAGCACTCTTCTTCGCAAGCTTTCTCGTAGAAAATCTTCAGCTTCTACCATTCAATCGATAGCTTCCTCGAGTATTATGACGGTCGAACTCTCTAATCCGTTTGACACAATTGACAATCAGAGTATCAATAATTCCAGAATCAATTCAAGAGCATCGTCCTACTACGATGGCACCATCATGATGTCGAACCCACCTACACCTACACCAACACCGATACCAACACACAGCTCTTCTAGAGACGATAATTTCGTTTTGTGCCCGCAGATTTCTGTCACTCCGGAGAGTGCTAGTGTGAATGCAGGTATTTGTACATTATGGGCTGCTGTTGAGATCATCGGCGTACTTAGGAAAGCTGATGGTACATCGACATTAGATGATGCCGGTCGCACCTATAGCACACAAAATCTTACTCCGCGATATTTAGGTATGACATAGAGTCTCTTAATCTTTAGAGGTGCTCTCATTGACTTTTCTAGACCTCAGAAGTTACGGTAGTCTCCACAACATTGCTGTTGAATTCCAACCTGGGCCAGATTGTATTATAGTTGACCAGCCGGCAGACACCTTTCAAGCTAAGACTATTCGGGTGAGTGAGACTCATCTTATGTTAGTGAAGATACGATTGAACGAAGTCAAAAACTCGCTATCGCACGCGAAGGAGAGATCATCCGATGAATTGATCGAAAACCTGAATGAAATTCTGGGAGACATCACTACTCATTACTTGACTGTAAAACTAAACTATAGACACTCAGCTTTCTTAAACTTAAGATCGCAGGCTGCCGAAGGAGAGTTTAGGCTCTTACCACAACACACTTTGCTGGAAACTAAAGCCACAGCATATATTAAGCGCCATAATCCAGCATCTGCTTGGTCACCTAGAAGCTCTGGGACTTTAAATTCGGCAGTAGGAGCTAGTGTGCTTACGAAGATTATCGAAAAGCACTTTTCGACCGAGAAATCTAGAGAAGCACTTCAGAAGCTCGCGGAAGATAGAACAACGATTTCACGTCCTCGAAGAACCTACGGATATTCGTCAGATAAGGAAAATCGAAAATCTACAGCCAGCTCATTGTCATGTGTAAATTCAACTAACAGTCTACTCTCTCACTCGTTTTCAATGACAGCCATCTCAAATTTCAATGATCGAAGTAGCCCCCTTTCCAAACGTTTGGGCTCGCCTTACGACCATCCATTAGATCAAGTAGACGGAGAAATGGATCCTGCACGGAAGATCTGGTCACAAATGCGAAAGACCTCACGTCCCGCTCGCAAACATCCTCGGGCGAGTATCAGCGACGGGAACTACTTTAGCGCAGATCCAGACGCGCTATTCGAGTGTACTACACGATATGGAGGTAGTTTGAGAGCTCCAAATCTCTCGATTTTTGAACCGCCTGATAATCTCCTGGACACTTCGCTGGAATTGACGCCAAAAGCGAAACGAGATCGACTTTCGAGGGGGAAAAGTATAAATGATGTGATTTATGACGATAGACATCACCTTAGAGAGATGGCGTTAAGAAATAAGAGAAGCGTGGGTCAAGAAACATTGAGGAGTATGGTACCTAGTACTCATAGTGGTGGAAACGCGTTCGGGAGTAGGCACGGTGGCGTCTTGGGGGCCGTAGCGGGAGTAGGGTTACCGGGTAGAAATTGGGGGCAATGGTTGCCTTGGGGTAGTTAGATGTTGTGGTGGTATATCGATTGAACATGTGCTCTTTGTCTGACTTAAAGTTGGACATTCAGATGGTCGAAATGATTAGTTGTTTCTGTTGGAATTGTTATAGGCATGGTTGTCTATGCTTATAATGAGAGTTAATAATATTGCGCCTCTCTTTTCCTGAATAAATTTAGTATCAATCAATGCATATGCATGTTTCTGAGATTAAATACTGAGTTACATCAATAGTGGTATTGGTTCTGGTGATGAGAACCTGGAATGACCATTATGACTAATAGACTTGAGATCGTCCTTCACCTGTAAGTCTTCTGTGTCATGTCTCGTGTCAGGAAAGTTCTTTTGGAGTCAGCCTGTGAGTTAGCCAGTTGAAAATCATAAGAACTATTGTTAGTAGGAATAATTCATAGATCCGCAAGAAGGAGAAGAACCATCTGATTATGTGCTGAAGCTTTTCTTCCTTTGTTGCTTCTACTGGTAGAATGATAGGTTACCCTATTTTTGGAATGAAGACTTTGAAAACTACATTTTGTCTCTGATACATATTGAAATAGTAAAGTAATATGTAGGAGAGATTTTTTTTTATGAAAATCCGTTCCACTCGCCATGTTGCGAGCTTGCGTTATGATTGTCGGTGTTGACAGACTGGGGAGAAAACATGTGGCGATGTAGAAATTATGAATATTAAAATTCGTGTTGGTCGTATACTGGGCAGCTAATGATAGTTTATACATAGATTCCGAGAGAAGTTGCGCACTTGAGATGATACTACTAGCTTGGCCACATTAATTTTGATATCTCGTTGTTATTTTGTAAATTTGAAGGTTTAAAACATTCTATGGCTATGGGATGTCTGGGTTTTCAGCATCTGCTACTCAAAATTCTCAATTAAGAATTGTTATCTGATTGAATAGTGTAGCATCCAACTGAAGTCTCTAAAAGTCTGATGTTGCACATCTCTAGTTAATTTATACAGGCTTTACCCCCACAAGTGCTATTATAGTTGCTAGAGAACTCATACTATTCTTTCCGCTAGATTTAACTTCTATAGATTGGTGTATGATACATTTATTGTTTTTCTGACTTCCGGATGTTGTTGAGCTGTATGTCTGGAAATCACCGCCTCCTTGGAGTAATTCTTGTATGCTAATCATAACATGGTCATCCAGAAACATGTGTATTTGATGAGTTGCCAGTTAATAACAGTTTCTGTCACACAAGTATTATCAGCTGACATAATAGAGAAGAGCCTCAGCGAATCTGTTCTATATACATTTTTCGCGACTATTTTGGCGATTTGATAATGAGATTTAGTTTGAGCTGGTTCTTTCTAGCATGAGGGTATTCCATAAGATTCATGATCTCACTAACAGTGAAAAAGAATCTTGCTCTGTGCTTAATTTGCAAGGTCATTTTCAATGAACTTGAACTGGTAAAATGAAGCCAACGGTTTTGTTTCGATATGCAGGTATCGAGTCGCGTATGCTTCTGGCTATTAAGCGAAAAGAGCAATGATCGTAGAGTGTTTATAAGCGTGAAGTTATTTTAGAAGAACAATCAATGTTTTAGTTGAAAAGAATGCGAAGTTCTCAGGATATTACTTTTAAAGAAGGGATTTCTGGATTTTTCTATACTCCATTGAAGGGATAAGACAGCTATAGGAGGAGAGAGAATTGCAAGATGATATCAATCACATCAGCTCAAATTTCAATTTTGATATCTGATCAAGACGTACAGCATACTCAGATTATTAGCTGGAGTCTTTGGATATGGCTGAGACTAGGTATCTGTTTTTGTTTGTTTTTGTAGCCCTGTAAGCAAAAGAAAAGTGGGTTGATACTTAGACAGTGATTAGATACAATCAGTTTGAGTGACATATAAGCTAAAGCTAGAATCTGATTGATATCTAGAATCAATGAGACTGTTTAGTGGTACAAGTCAATACAATATGGCTAGATCCATGTAGTGAATCGAGGCAATGGGTAGCTCGGTAGTCAAGTCAGTCCACTTTGAAATTAAGAATACTAATAAGACGTACAGTAATCACTTATTTAAACACTCATGAAATAGATCCCAGGTCCCATTCTTGACATACTCCTAGTAACCATCCAAATTAAGGCTCAAGTTCTCATAGAAAGCAATTCATTCAGATCCTTACCCGACGACACCTTACTATGTACGTACTAGTAAGTCGGTCTCCAACAACAATAACTGAACATACACTGATATTCAAAAATTAGTGAAGGTCAAAATTTTACTCTCCATCAGCTTCAATAAAGAGATGTTGAAACGACTCCAGTCGGATGACAAGACAAAAGCTGCTCAGAGTATCGGATTAGTTCCGATGAATCTCAATTCCCAAGAAAAGATCGCTACACCCATCAATCAAACTTTCACCCTCTTCCCGAACCTTCCTCTTGAGCTCCAGCGCAAAATATGGGAGTTTACTGCCGTCCCAGTTCCGCGAGCGATTGAAATCCAAAGCAAATACAAAAAAAACACCAACAAATACGTAACATCTTTCTACGAAAAAGTCTCCATTCAACGTCGCATCCGATACTACACAATCACCTCTCCTATCCCCACAAATCTTCTGCATGTATGTAGCGAATCCCGCAATATCGCTTTGCGAAACTACAGCTTTCGGACTTTTTTCCGTCGCCCGTTTTACTTGAATGAAGATACGGATATTCTATGGGTGCGAGGCCCAGCCATTTTTGGTTTTCTCACAAGAGATGGTAGTATCATTACACACTGTCCCCGGGAAGAAGGAACATTCCACCACCTGGTCTCAAAACATAAGTTCCGCCATCTCGCCATCGACTACCAAGCCCAGCGCGAACCATTTCCTATATGGTCGAATTTCTTCCCGGGCCAGCGCAATCGTGACTGGAATGTGTGTTTTTGGAGTCACTATATTTTGGAGGGTCTTGCGATTGAGAAAATCTACTTGGTGTATACAAAAACCGGAAGAGCAGAAGATGGTGCAGGAGGAAGCGGAGAGTGTGTTTGAGCTGGCGAAATTTTTTATGGCGCAGAGGGAGAAGAATGTAACGGTGGTTATTCCGGGGATGTTTGTGTGGTATTGTAGAGCTACGGAGTTGAGGCGGAGATTGGGATTAGGATTTAAGGCTCCGCCTGTTGAAGCGATCTTGGATACAGAGCTCATGCAACAGTTTCACTAAGTCATCTTATCCACTGTCTTTTACTACACATATGACTTCGCAGCGTTCAAATTCTGGAGAAGCTGCATTATAATTGCTTCCTTTCTTCTGAAGCCAACTGTAGATATCCCTTCCAACCTAATCTAACCCACCTCATCCCACCTCACCTTTACAGAAAGATTGTCTCGCTTCCTCCTCAATACCATCAAGTACTGGAAACAAGGAAAATAATCGGGACATAGAGTCTCGGTAGCGATATATGTATTCATCTACTTCGATTCAACAAGAACAAAAAGGAAAAGGAAATTGATACTTGAGAATTACATGTGAAAGTTGATATGAAAGTTGGTATGAAAGTTGATATGAAAGTTGATATGAAAGTTGACATGAAAGTTGATATGAAAATTATGTAATGATTAGCATTTCATTTCATCAGCCCCACGAGCTTTTATAATAACAATCATCAAACTACATATCATCAAAACCATTCTAAGTCAACATCATCTCTCACAACTCGAATTCAAATACACTTACTACCTAATCACTAATAAATCTCCCAAGATAAAAAGACCCCATCTTTCTGATTATCTTCAATACAAACACATCCTTCAACGACCCACCTCGCTTTCTCATTCTAAACCAAACCAAATATCTTCTAGATCATACATCATATAGACTTACATCAAAATAACAAAATATCCAAGCTTAGTACAGCAGTCAGCCTATCAGTCTACTCGGCATTCTGAATATATCTATATCTCCATCTACCTATTGATATATTCCACCCTCTCATGGTTCAGAATCAAACCCAAATAACCATCCATATACATTCAACAATTGCCTCGTCTTATAAATAGATACACAAATTATAAAATATACGAGTACCTGGATATCTATTTGAGGATTAAAATAGAGTAATTTTACATTCTGGGTATTTAAAGAATGATATGTAAATGCCTATCTAATTCATCTTTAACAAATACTAGATACCTAGAAACCTATATAAAAAAGTAAGAAATATAATATTTAAGATGAACATTTACATGGTTATATACTTACTTACTTTCTTACTTATCTAGCTATTTCCATTTTCATTAAGATTTCTAATCTCTTATTCTGATCTCATCTTGCTTCCAATTCACATATTCTAAATTTCAGTTCGTTTGTTCTCGCTTAACTTGATAAATCTATCACTCAGAGACTCATCTAGACATGACATGGATAATTCTTTTATTTCATTGCTAATTACTCACTCGCCTAGGTATATATTCTATAGTCTTATACGTATGATTTTTATAATAGTTTTCTAGATACCTAATCTAATGTAACTTTTGAGAGTCGCTTCGCTGCGCCCTTTCAGAGTTGGAGAAGCGATGATCAAACTATAGGTAGTATCATAGTAACTGACGTCTTTCGATGCTCGCTTGTTATAGCCTAGCCTTGATTAGACGAACTCTTATCAATCATCAAAATTATTACATATCTTCTTCATTCCCGTGTAAAAAATAAAATAAAAAAGCCAAGTCTTCATCTGTATGAATATAGGAAGATAAATGTCCTTAATTTCGCACTGAAAGAGAAATAGGTATATATAATTGATTCTAATCTCCATCATAATTCACATCCCCTCCTAATCCTCCTCACTCTCTTCCCCAAAAATCGCCTTGAAAACCGCATCTTCCGGTCTTTCACTTTCCAACACTTCATTTCTCTCCGCATTAATCGCCATCTGGTCATTCTCCTTCCCAACCTGTGAATTCACCAAATCGATATTATCATGTATATCTTCCCTCTTAATCTCCTCTCCAAACCCTACATTCCCAGCCTCCCTCACCATCCTCTCCACCTCTCTCCTGCCTACCAAATCCGGAGGGACTTCTCGTCCCATGCCCATCCCACGCTCTTCATCTGCAGACGGCTGTACATGTTTCGGGGGCTGCACATTAAACCTCTTACACAGTAATCTCGTCGGGAACCAATCTTTTCTCTCTCTCGTCATCGGACCATACATTCCCATTCTCGCCGCCTGTTCCGCTGGATCTTCTTTTATCTCCGGTTTACTCAGGAGCTCTTTCACCGAACCATCTTGTCCTGGTAATATCGTACTTGAAGATGAGCTTGTGAATCGTGTGGCCATTAATCCCGTCATTGGTTTGAAGATTTTCGCGCAATTAGCGAATTCTTTGAGTTCCTTTAGCCAATCTTCTTTACTGGTTAACATACTCCTTTCCGGCAAGGTTAATACGATGCCAGCTTGATGTTCGAGGTAAGCACGGTAACGAATGCGTTTTGGTTCGTCTTCGCCATAGACGCTTGCGCAACGCAAGAGTGCTGCATCGGCGGTATATTTATCGATTTTAGGGATTTGAGAAAGGAGTTCTTGCTGTCTTTGTTCGGGGGTCATAGCATAGCCTTCCGGAATTTCGCCTAGGGCTTGGGGTAGATTAGATTTGCCAGAAGCGGCGGCTAATCGATCACGAGCAGAACTGGAAAGGAAATCGAATACGGATTTCCCAGGCAGAGCAGCTTCTCCTAGGATAGAAGCTCGAGATTTAGGGTCTAGTTTGGATGCCTTTGCTGCGTCCGAGGTGGATAGATATTGTGGTTGCGTAGATTCGGATTTGGATTGTTTGGCTGATTTCCATCCTTCAGGGATTGTGGGCGGTGGATATTTGGAAAGCGTTTCGGACATTGATGATGTAGTCAAATCGTTACTCAAAATAAATCCGTCTAGAGGTAAGCGACCATCATGACATTTCCGCAGCCCAGCTGCTGCCTTTGCCATAGCGGTCTTTTTCGATATAAAGACCGGTTTGGATTTTAACAATGAATTGGCAGCTGGTGTTAATGGTTTCTTCTTCTTCTTATCTCCTCCTATTACTCGATTATAGGATATTCGTGGACCAATTTCGTAAGGGTCTTCGTCATCCGAACCGGTATCATTTAAGATACCAATACCAATTCCACCTCTGACAGGCTTCTTCTTCTTCTTGGCGATTTTGGGTGCTATTGAAAACGACCTATCATCGTCCTCGTCCTCTGACTTATCCTTCTCCGATCCAAGTCCATGTATTGGCGTCAACTTTGTCTCCCCATCAAAACCTAAGCCTTTATGATCATCCTTCCGAAGGAAACTAATCATGCGGGTATTTTCAGGCGCAAAGAGATATGTCGCATCGGCATCCGCTCCAGACCTTTCTATTCCATCTAAACGAGCTTTTCGTCGAACTTTTGGTCCTACTCCCTGTCCTTCTTTCCAACCCATTTTCTTCAATAGCTTCACTCCCATTGTCTCTCCCTCAGTTTTGAAAAGATCAATGAATGCGCCTCTGCGAATTGCATCATCTTGCGTCGAACCAATTCCAGCGAATCCTTCTGCTGTCTGTACTCTTTGAGCTTCTGCGGCATCTGCTAAATCTTCATCATCCATAAAATCTTCTGGTCGTTGTTGGCGTACTTGGGCCGCATCTTTATTTCGATTCGATCGAGAGGAAACAAAAGTCGAAGGTGTCCAGCCTTCTTTCGATCCCACCGTGTTAAAATATCCCGCACTAAAACCACCGGTAAAAGCCCCATGTAATCTTTTCAACCCCCTCTCATCGCGAACTTCCTGTTTCCACACCGGTACATACGATCCATCATCTCGCACATCTGCATCTCGTGGGGGTAATGGGGTTCCGTATACGACGAAGGGTGATTGTTGGGCCTGTAAATCTGCTTCATATGTTGCTCGCGAACGTTTGCCGGACATGGTAGAAATGCAAAGTTAAAAATGGAGAACGAGAACGATTGGGGATTGGGAACAGGTCGAGGCTGCATCCAATTGTTGAATGGTCAGCCTCGTCAAGCTTACTGGGTGCAAACGGACAATTGTAATTGGGTTAATAAACGCGGAGGAATTGATTGATGTGAGGCTATTAATAGTATTTTTCTTGGATTGAAGATGCTTTGAGGATGCTTTGATTACGTAAATAATTCAGCATTCAGTCGTCTTAGGCAGTCTCACGCATTGAATGGAAATCAATCCATTTTCCGGTTGATTTCTTGGGGGAAATTATCTCTACATGGCAATGGTAAGATGTCAGTCTTGGGTGATAATCTGGAGAACTCGGGGGAGGAGCACTCGTAACATAAAGAGACATGACGACTGGCCTTGGATTCACGTGCTGGAGGAAGAGGGGTACAAGGATTGCATTGGACGTTACTTGGTTTAATCACCAATCGTACCAGAAATTCGATAGTTTCGGGCCAGCTTCGTCGTGGTCTAGAGTGTTGTGGTGGTGACGGAGCGACTGGGGGTTTGAGATGGATGGGATGGGATGGGATGGGATGGGATGTGATGTGATATGATATGATATAAATATCTAACCTAGGTGATCTTCCTGGTTCCATTACCTTTATGATACAGGAGAGTCATTACATTACCCAGGCCCTAGCTCGGATGTAGAAGGATGAGGACGTATCAATGTTTACTGATAGTGAAGATAACAAACAAGGTTATGGTTCTAACGGAAAGCCATCTGAGCGTTCAAGACTCAACCGCCGGTGTACCTCGATATCCAATGAATCTGCTTTCGTGTCTAGAACGTGAACCTGGTACCTTGAGTGTATGAGTGAGGATGAGGACGAGTGAGGATGAGTGAGGATGAGGATAAAGACGAAGATGAAGAGAGAAAAGTCAATGGATGCAAGAAGAGCAGTAGGTAAGAATGTATGGAGGATGGAGGATGGGGTATGGGGTATGGGGTATGAATGATGATGATGATAATGTATATAGATGATAATGTATATAGATGATAATGTATATAGATGATAATGTATACTTACGAATGATGAATAGATATGGCTAATCATGGATATATATATAAACAAAATAAATATAAGTTATATGAATAATAATAAATGTATATAAATGATAGCTACCCCCCTACTTGGGAATTCTCACAGCCATATTCATCAGCCTTACCAATAATACACATCACCTCGGTGGGCGGCACATGTATTAAATTTTACTGCATTTA